ATCACTATAAGTTGAAATTAAATGACAAATGGAAATTAAAGAAAATACCTGTCCTATTACATATGGTGCTTCCTAAAAGTAAGATCTTTTACTGATAATTGTTTGAGAATTTATTCCTATTATCATGTAGCTTTTGTTGGATTCGTCTATTCTACATAATATATAGTGTTTGGCTAAAAGTATTTTCCCATTTGAAATGATATTCCCAAGTCCTAAAAGAGAAAACTTTATTTATAAGTTTTGGTATAAAGAATTGTGAGAATCATATTGATAGTTAATTTTAATCATGTACGGTTCTATGATATTATACATTTATTGCAATTTTATTTTGCGATAATTAATAATTCTATGGCGCCCCTATATAAATATGATATTCTTTGGTAAACAAAGCAAAAGTGCATGGCAAAGAATACGTCCTTTACTTAATAGGTCCCTTAATTAATGTGTGCTCACATCGGTAGGGTTGAATTCTACTTGAATTCAGATATATAGTGCTTTTGCCAAAATTTGCTTGAAATCAAATACAATGTTGATAATAGTTAATTTAATTAATCGTGTTTATAGAATACTTAATTTCTTTTGATTCTGCATTTTATTTATGCTTCTCTAAAATCGGTTATGGCATATTAGGTAAACATACTAAATGTTCACGTTACCGTAGGATCTGACAGTTCAAGCCCGACCCATAGGATCGACTTCTCCGTGACTTAAGATATATACCGTTTTTGCCAAATTTGTTGTGAAATAAAGTAATATAAAATGTTGATAATATTTCAATAATGTGTTTATATAATACCAAAATNACCGTCTCCATAATAGGAGCTTAGCTAGTGGGCCCGGAAATGTTTTGAAGCAATTTACATTTGAACTTTACAGATAAAATGGACCTTTTCAATGCAAGCAAGCCCAACTCACAAGAAGACCGTAACAAAAAATGTAAACACATGCAAATCATGTTTATTTGCAAATTCATGAAGTATTTTTTTTAATAGTAAATATACAAATTTTTATTATTTCATGAGTTGTTGATCTGTGATTTATTTATTTTTATTAGTATATAATTTTCATTATTTTTTTTATTTATCATTCGTTTATGAATGTTTTGTATACGATTTTATTTTGAAAATCTTATATCTGCAAAAATTTTCAAAAAGTATAGTAAGGATGTAAAACAGTAAAAACGCCGTTATATTATAATCCGAAAACAAAATGCTCTAGTTAAATACTCCCAAATATTAAAGTTAGCCTAATAAAACTCATAATTAGATACTAAAAAACAACTGCAACAAAGGATATTAAAAATGATGGAGTACATTAATACATTAATTTCCGCAATGTATATAACTTGTCTCTTCAATAAAATTACAAAAGTTATATTCTCAACTAAAATCTCTTATGTAC